CACCATGAGAACAATTCGCTGTACAACACCCCTCCCTGTTATGGGATCTACATGTGTGGATTGGTGTTTGAGGATCTTCTGGAACAGGGGGGGCTGAAGGAGGTGGAGAAGAAGAACAAGAAGAAGGCGGAGATCCTGTACGAGGCGATCGACGGGAGCAAGGGGTTCTACCGGTGCCCGGTGGAGCGGTCGGTGAGGTCGCTGATGAATGTGCCGTTTACGCTGGAGAAAGCGGAGCTGGAGGGTGAGTTTGTGAAGGAAGCAGCGAAGGAGAAGATGGTTCAGCTGAAGGGGCACAGATCAGTGGGAGGAATGAGAGCTTCTATATACAATGCGATGCCATTGGCTGGGGTGGAGAGTTTGGTTGCTTTCATGAAGGATTTCCAGGCAAGGCATGCTTGATTTCAGTATAACATATATGTAATTTTTGCTCTCTATTTTCTGCTCTGGGGTAGAAATCTAAGCCGGAGCATCTTCTTATGTAATGTTTTTGGTTTTGTTTTTGTTTTGGTTTTGGTTTTGGTTTTGGTTGGCAATCTGATCAAAGCAGGATCTTTATTTGTCCAATGGGGGTGGGGAGTTGTGTTTTTTGGTAGAGTTTTCGTGCAAATTTTCTCAAGAGGATTTTGATCTTCTGGTGAAAAATGAGTAGTTTAGGTTGGTGATTATACTATTGAAGCTTTCGAATCAATAACCTATGGTTCACTTCTCTCTCTCTTCACTTTTCAGTGGCAGTTTTGGCTGATTTTACGTTTATAAAACTCAAGCACACAGTTCTAATATTCAAGTTCCAAAAAAGTTTGCCCACTTTTCAGTTTCTGGTCTACTGTTGCTAAACTTTGCAATTCCAACGGTACCTAAAAGGCTAATGACGGTAGAACTATAATGGGATCAAAATTTGAGGAAGATTTGAATACGAAATTGAAATCAGTTCCCTGTTTCCCATTCTCGAACTTTTAAGACTTTATTGAAATATCATTCATAAAATAATTAATTAAGGACCCATTTCGTAAAATGAAACGTTATCAAACGGACCCTAAAGTTTCATTGAATCTCCATTTAGTGAATCTATACAGAACATAGAACAAATTATCGAGACAGGAGAGGGATGGGAAAATCTCGCATGCTTCCTTTGTTCTTACTACAACTTTTCCTTCATAAATCTCGCATGCTTCCTTTGTTCTTACTTCATAAATTCTCAAATGATGTTGATGTAGCACATAGTAGAAGACAGTAGTATATTTAGAGTAATATGGAAAATTTATCGGGGGAGATCTTAGTAAACGAGTTTTTCAAGTGAAGGGTACCAATCAGAATGTGACAAGTAGACTCGGTCACCAACCCAACAGCAAAACGATGGCCCACCAATTCATTTACCATGTCCAAATAAGGGAAGGTAGCGAGCGGCTATCTTGGACAAGAATTATCACTATATATATAATAAAGAACAATTTCAAAGAAAATACAACACTTCCCCTCCCAAAAGAAAAAAATGAAATCCCTCTTCTTGACCGTGTTTCGATGTATGTATCTTAATCTATGGTAACTGTTGTCTGTAAATATTCTCATTTTATGCATGAAAGAATGGTTTTACAAGAAACATACGAGTTCTTACAGTTATGGCAACTCTGCTGTGCTTTTGTCTGCTGGCTCGAGCACAGTCGCTTTCTAGAGGCCTCCTCTCATTCTCATCTGTCATGAAAATGAAAACCTTGAGAAAAGAGAAAGAGCAGATCCTGAAGAAGCATCAGTAGCAGGGCTTGGTGGAGCGTCCCTGGAGGCACGGTACGCTTGTTGACATTTTTGCATCTGTGTAATAAGCACATCAACCAAAATTACTCACGGTAGTTGAGACTATTGAAAGATGGCGGGGGGAGAACTGATGAAAAATTCAAAACTTTAAGAAGTTGAAAAAAGCCTAGAAACAATACTTTTAACTTTTTAAGTACAAACTTGAAACTAGATGAACATTTTCTAAATGTTCCAATACCTTTTTATACACGAATCATCATCGAATAAAGGAAATCTAAAATCAATTATTTTCAAACGAATCAATTTGACATTAAATTATTACTTGTAACTAGTGAACAAGTCTGAATCTAATCATAAAATTTTAATTTCATCAAATTAAACTCTGAACTTACATAAATAGTGAAATTAATATCATATATTAGTGGAATTTCTTGGTTGTTGCGGCAATTTTGGTGCTATGTTTATACCGCTTTCTGCCTACTGCAATTATGGCTTGATTTTGGATGTTGTGGAGATTAAATTGTGTGACTAATAGAACAGTTAATAGCTAACTTTCTAATTTAATCTTATGGATGTAATAAGTTCGCCACTTAAAGATTGGACAAATATAGGGGTAAAATGATCATTTCCTTGCCTAACGTTTATTATTTTTTGTCCTATATTCCTTTTTCATGCACATAAATTTTTTTTACAGGGAAATGAATCGAATCGACGACTAAAAGATTTGACACTCTAGAGACTAACAAACCATAGGAATGCAAGTCCACTAACCATATCTTGAGAGCACGTAAATGATTATATTCCTATTATTTAGGCGATCCTTATAAGCCCAACAATGACTTTCTTTCTTTAATTTCCATGGGTTCTTTTGACTGCACTTATTGGTTGGACACAACTAAGAAAGTAGAATACAATACCTACTGATCAGATAGAGATATAGTAGAAAGAGCGAATACAACCTCTTCTGGACTAAACTGGAGGAGCATCGCAACTACGGGCAGCAGAGCTTCTACTTCACCTAATTAGAAATAAAATTGAGGACAACAAAATGTGAACAGGGTGTAAAATAAATCAAGGCCTAAAATGGAGTTTGTGGCTGCAGAATAAAACTTCTACTGTACCGGTTTCAAGGAGCTTCAAGATGACATTCTTCAGATATGTCATGTCTACACCTTCCCTTTTCTGTGATCTTTCCATATCACGAAGCTCAGCCTTTAACATTACTTGCTACACCCATGAGATAATATTTAAATTCCACACCAAAAATATAAGAAATCCATCTAAAATGGTATGACTTTCACGTATATCAAGCAGACATAACAATTGAACAAAATTAGATTTAAAACTGAAAGCTTTAGATGTCTTATAAATTGGTCCAATTTGGACTTAATTCTACCTGTTGGCTATGCAGACGATTCTCTCGTTCAAGCTCCTCAATTTCTTCCTATAAAATACAGAATTATTAGAAGCTGCATTTAGGAAACGAAATACACATCTCAATCAATGGATCATACTTGAAGGGCTAAGATATGCCTCTGTGATTGGGCCAGTTGTTCTTCCCTCTGGGCCTGCTGCCTCGCTAAAAGCTAGAATAAAAGAAGAAAATAGAAAACTATCATGAACATGTTCAAGGTCTCTTACAGATCATACTAGTTCCACGTAAAAAGCATCAAAGAAATTTATTATTATTATATTTAGATATTAAATATAATACTAATAAAATTTCATCTCTAACATTGTGGTTAAATCTCTGAATAAAAAAGTGACTGGATTTAACACTCGAATCATGCAAACTAATTTTCCGATTATATCATAATATTCTTTAATTAGCAATCACAGCTACTAGTAGGTTGAAAATAAAATTATCCAAGTAATTTTTGTGTTACTAAATGAAATAAAAACTGAAGTAGCAATTGATGGGATCAAAAACCAACATGACATTCCGTTGCTTTAAGCAACCTTATTGTCACATATACAAGCAAGAGAATCAAGAAAGACTAATGAGCAACATCTCTAAGTAAGATGCTTCGGTTGGAGCCAAATTGATAATGTAAATTTAAAGTGACCATGTGTTTTCACCTCAAAAAGAAAAAAAAAATGAGCATGTGTTTTGATTTAACAAAACCGCTTCCCTTAAAAAAAAGATATTCAGACAAATATAAGCTGTGACAATCTTTTATGATAAAGAATGATCTACATACCAGAATCTGTTGTTCCGCATTGGAGGCACTCAAATTTGACAGTTCCAGTTTTTGAGTGACTGATACCAGTTGAAGAAAAAGAATGTTAGAATACCAAGAGCCATTTTTAGTCTATTATCCAACTTCATACGGTTCTAAAAAGTATTAAATATATGAGCAGCAAATAAATAGGGAAACAAAAAAAGTTTGCCTACCTGCAGTATAATCAATTTGATCTGCCTGAGATGATTATAGAAGACAAGGGTCAGTATGAGTACAGAAAATACTATAAATAAAATTTCAAAAGCAAAAAGAGTAGAAAATAAACGTACAGGAGGTTTTGATTCCAAAGATTGACGAAGATTCTTATTTTCATCTAAAAGCCTAGAAATTTCTGTATCCTTTTCCTCAATCATTCTATCGGCAAGATCACGGAATGAACCATGCTCGTCCTACAGATTACACAACAAAGTAAAAACTTGAGAATAAAATTATTTTAGCATCAGTCACAAAATAAAATATCCTACTTGCCTTCAATTTTCTATACCCTTGTTTTAGCTCTTCAAATTCCTTTTCCACGTCTAGTCTAGAGGATTCTTCAAACTCAGACTTCACTGCTTCACATCTGACTGCACATAAAAATATTACGGAGAGTAATCTTCTACAGCTAATCTATTTCTGTCGAATTCTGTAAAGAAAAACCAAGAATCACTATTTCATTCAAACTATAGACATATTACTTCGCCATGATTCTTCCAAGTTTTGGAGGTTCTGTTCCCAAGCTTCCTTTTCTGAGTGAAGGTGCAAATTAACAGATTCTAGCTTCATTTCTAAGCTCTTGATATTTTGCTTAGCATCATCAAGGGCTGAATCTCTGTCACGAGTGGAATTCATAAGTTATCTTTAAGAAGAATGCTGTCAATTCATAAAAGGAAAAATAATTTATAGAATTCAATGAGGAATATTCCGAAGGACGAGAAAGAATGGAACTATTTGCAAACAATTATCTACCTAGTGTAAACCTTATGAGAATTATATGTAACGACAAAAATTCGCCATCAGGATTTTCCCTCTATGAGAACATTTTGGCCTGCCTAAAAATCTTTTTCACCTAAAAGTAACATGGGATGTCCATGGGAATATTGAATCACAGTACTTTCATACATTCCATTTTACCGATCTTTTTTAGGCTTTCACAAACAAATAGGATCCAAGGACAGATCCTCTCTCTCCCTCCAGGTCAGGGGTTCATTTCAAGCACCATGAAGAGACGGCAGATCACATGCCCTCTCTCTATTCAGTATTGACAGGATGTCCAATACGTCTTTAAGAATTTCATTCATTAAAGATGTCCAGTGGTTCTTTCTGTTCGTGATAGGGATTTCATTCATCAGATGCTTGATAGACAGCCAAAAGCAAGGGCACAGTCCTTCCAACTATGGCAATTAGAGCACCCATTTGCGAAATATGGCTTGAAAGAAATAAAGAATCTTCATTTTGGAGGATAGGCACTGTGCCAACTCATGGGTACTTTCTTGAATATTTTAGATAAAATAATTTACAACTACCTTCCTCCATTATTAATGTCAATTGGAGAGTTTGGTTAAGTTTGGTTGTTGTCTCATCTTCCCATTCCATGTCTTTGAATATTTATGGTATCAATTGATTTGTTCCACGACTGAAGCCTGCAACTGATATTAATCATCCCTGGAACATCTTTAAATGCATCCATGTAACATCCAAATCAACCTTGGAGGTAATAACAGCTATGACAGTTGCAATTTAAGTCTGTAGTAACCCACTGGGAGAAGATGGAAAAACAAAATTATGGATTTCAAACATAAGACTACCTTTCTCTGAGTTCTTTATCATGATTTGCCAAAGCATTCTGAAGATCTAGCTGTGCCCGATCCTTTTCAGCATATGCCAACATGATTTCCTTTTCAGCCTCCTACAATGCTAAGTTTGATAAGTGAAGAGAGCTCAGAAATCAACATGGATATTGTCTTTATCTGTGGATGTCCTCACCTTTAATGCTTCTTCAAGAGCTTTAATTTGTTCAGAGTCCACAGCAGCAGCTAGATCTGCTTCCTTCTTCTGAAGAAGTGCATGAGCACGAACCTTGTATGAAGAAAATTCACTTTCAAGGCGACCCATCTGCAATAATTAAGAAATTGCATCAAGCCAATTCTGATTTGAGGTAGATGTTGAAGGGACAAACAATTCACTTTAAAATGCATTTATGGCAATACAATAAAAAAGAGTAAATTTATTTTCATGGCAGCATCTGGAAACTTTGGTGAAAACATAGTTCCAGGTTTGTTAGATACCATGAACAGTGACATTCTGATAGATTTAATGGAAGGCCTCATATCGGATGAATAAATAGGAAAAAAAAATATATCTACCAAAATTATAAGGCTTTAAAAAATTATTTGATAAAATATTGGAGAACAAGCATGAACAGTGAAATATGAGCATGCAAAAACGTGGAAGTTATTCCACAAACTATTGGAAAACAAGTAATTCAGCATCAAATGGTGATCGTTATCGGTCACTTTAAAAGCACCCCATAGAGGTCGGAGACAATTGGTGAGATTATTCCACTGGAAGTGAGGAATTATATTAATCTATCTTACATTTTGGGGATGGGAAACAAATATTTAATTGACCAGGTGAAAAATTACATAAGGGGGAGGTTTTTTTTTTAATTTTTTAATTTTATTTTAAGAAACAAAATGTATTAAACCAAAAGGAGCACAGCCTACGGGCAAGGGCCGAGGAGGCCCTCCCCTAAAGAACTACCACGTTACAACTTGCCAATCATGGGACAGTAAAACTAGACTATAATTACCAAAGAATCTCCTATGAGTAATTATATAAGGGGGAGTTCACCCATAAACAACCAAAAAATTACCCAAACTCTTTGGCACTTTAGCTTTCCAAATGTGCTTGGAAGGGTTGGTGGGCGGTCCTTTTTGGCAGGAGTTCACAAAATGTGCCCGTGAATTTTGAAGAATGTCTAATAGCTGATCAATTAGAAACCAATTTGGAAATTCAAGGCAGGGATCTATTAGATATTATAAAAGTTCAAGGACCTATTAGATACAAAATTGAAATTTAGGAACCTATTAGGTACAGCCTTGGAAGCTCAACGACAAAAGTTGTAATTTAACCTAAGAGAAAAGACACCAGTATAACCTTTGGAGGGGGTCCCACTCACCAAAAGCTAATCCCAAAATTCCACATACCTCCCCAACCCTAAATTATGCTCCTTATAACTATTAACACACACCAACTTCTCAAGTGATCACAAATATGCCACTATTATTGTTCCTAGTAGAATCTTTAAGGTTGTGGAGAAGTCAAGGAGGATGTTTCGAGTTTCGACTCTCGCTAGGTTTTATGTCTCGCTTTGGGCGTTTGTTTCTAAAGACTTTTGTAATTACTCGCTACTCGCTAGGCCTTACAAGAGGATGATGCTAGTTTTTTTTTTTTTTGCCCCTTGCAAAGGATGCTAGTGTTATTAGTAATATAATACTTCTGACATTCATGGATGATTCAAGCTTGAGAGTTGGTGAAGTCTTTTGAAGATGGTTTATGTCTTCATTTCAGTAATGTGCAATCCGGTTTGGGATATTGAGATTGAGCTCGGGTTGAAGGATCATCATAGGGATAGTGAAATACTTTGTCGTCCCTCTATTGCTTTGGATAAGGAAGATCTTCTAAATTATTTTAAAGAAACTGGAATCACTCTCTATGAAATCAAGGCTAAGGGTTCACGTTGGTTTTTAAGTCTCTTTGGGATTCTCATGTTGCTCTAATTTTGCTTTGGTGGTGTTCGGAAGCTGGCATTTTCATTTGGATCTTGTTTTAGGCTGTTTTTTGCAAAGCTTTGCAGGCCGTGGTTTTTTCTGGTTTTCCTTTTTTGCTGGTTTTTTGTTTAGGAGTCGATGGTTGAGGTTTTTATTTTGGTGCCTTAGGTTTGGTTGGTTTTTTGTTAGGTTTTAAGAGCTTGTTTTGCTCTGTTTAGTTATCTTGTTTGGTTGGTTGTATTGTTTCTTCTTTCACTCCTAGAGTTTGTATCTTGAACATTTTTAGAAAAGTTTGTTTCTTGTCCGAATAAAAAACTTACTCGTTTAGCCTTATTTTTTTTGGATTGGAGCCCTTCCTGTTCCTGATGGGTTAGTGTCTGGTAGCTACTTTTCTTCGGTTGCCATTTTTGTAGCCCCACTTTTTGTTGGTCCCTTTTTATTGGCTTTTCTTTGGCCATTTTATATTATTTATTTTTTTCTCGATGAAAGGTCAGTTTTTTGGCTTTCAAGGTGTGGATAGATTAATGGAGTTTTCCTCACACCCGTTGATTCCCAAAAATTACTGATGAAAATTAATCCATTAAACCAAAAAAGAAAAAAAAAACATCATCCAGGCTTGTGAGACCATCTACAACAGCTCCAATTGAATACCACATTAGTCTCCCCATCCCCATTAAGGAAAATAATAAAGGAAAAGCAAAGTGGAATGATTAAAATGATCACAGATTCCAGTGGTTAATAATACCTCCTCTTTGATAGTCAGTAGTTCAGCATCCCTTGCACTCAACATCCGGGTTTTTGCAGAAACTTCCGATTCCAGTTGACCTGTCCAACAAGAATGAAACATTTGTCCCTTTCTTTTCTATATTATAGTTATCCAACAAAAGTCACCAGAACTTTTTCTCATACTCCTCATTTTAGCAGCTTCAATTTCAGCACGTATGCAATTGCTTTCGGCAATCTCTAACTTCATTTTAAGTGCCTCTGAAGCAGCTTGCCAGGCCTCCTTTTCTTTCTCCTGTAGCATTATACAACTATGAACCTATGATTATAAACCTGAAATTTGCACTCAAACTGAACCCAAAGAAAATAACCACAACAATTTCAAAACGAAATAAGCTACAAACGGAAACACATGCATAGTCAGATCAACATGTAATCTCTAACATAAACTAATATATCAGAATTAAGTCTGTCAATCTTTTCAATCTCATTCACAGAATAAAATAAAGAGGTAAATTTACACAATATGAAAATGCTTGATTCATGTCACAAGCAATTCTCTCCATAATTTCATACTCTTATTTTGAACAAGAAAAAGCCTTTTCATTGATAGATGAAAAGTTTCTCCATCATTTCATATTCATGAATTCTCAAAAATATTTTGTCCACCAAGTCCACAACCTTGAAAGAGAATCTTTCAGGAGCTATAGGACTAAGTTCTCCAAATAAGATACTGCAAAAGAACATTGCTATAGAGCATAAAACGGTACAAATGTGCAAAAAGTTTTCAGGATATAAACGTTCTTAATTCATTTGCAGAAGAACTAGAATGATTTTGACACATTTCAAGAGTTTAAACCAAAGAGCCCTACATGTTCATTTCTGAGGTGAGCTAGCTCTCCTTTTACAGTTTCCACAGCAGCTCTAAGTCTTGCTGCCTCACCACTTGATGCTGCATCCATCTCTGCAATCTTTGATTCTTTTTCAGCAACTAATTCCTGGAAAATATGTGCTCACAATCTTCAATAACAGGAAATTATTTTTAATACCCGTCACACTAAGTTGTAAAAGCTTATATGGTTTACAGAGAAGGAGAATTATATTGCAACCAGAAATCAAACTTTTCCTTCTACTCAAACCTAAAAGGCATACTATATAATCACTGTAATTATGAAAATGGAACTTTATGTCTGTTGCACAATATTACACTAAACACATGGATCAAGAAATGAACATTTATTTCCTTTTACTCTTCACCTAAAAGCATACTAGATAATTGCAATCTTTATGAAAACACCACAGTACTGGAAAAACCTTCATAACTTGTCCGAGTAAAATGAGCTAAATGAACAAGAGAAGAAAGGACGCATTTGGTCGGTCCTTCAAATTATCTTAACATAACATGCACCAATTAGGAAAGAAAGGTTGTAGTAGGGACGCATCAAAGATGAACTAAATTTTGAATCGACTCTTACCTGTAGAGAAGAAATAGTTTCTGTTGCTTTATTTCTGTCAGATAAAGCATCAGAAAGTTGCATTTGCATGCTCTCCAAGCTCTGCATGAAAACAAAAAACACAGATGATAATTGGAAGATAATAGGAGGAATAGAAAGCATGGATTCATTCGACCAATATGCCTCACCTTCTGATGTTTTGCAGAAAGGTCAGCTAGTGAAGCTTGCTTTTTTTCCTCAGTAGCTTGAAGCATATTCTTCATGTCTTCCAGCATCTGAAGCACACAGAGTTGAAACATGCCATGTAAGATAAATATTTCAAAAGTCCTCCAGTTATATCAAAGTAAATGTAGTAATGACATTTGGTATTTGACGTGTTCAGAAATCAAAAGAGAAAGTAGAATAATTATAGAGAAAAATATTAATAGTGAACTTTGAATAAAATAAATTTTCTTTCTGATAGGATGCATGAGTCAGTCTATCACCTTTTCATCCTTTTTTTCCCTTTTTTGACATCCATGAGTGTCAGGACCAACCTGCGCACACCTCGACTAATCTCACGGGACAATCGCTTGACCCTACTATATTTGGTTACCAAGAAAACACGTAGGAAATTAATTCCTTAATAGGTGGCCATCATGAGATTTGAACTCATTCCTTCTAAATCTTAGTGCTTGGGATAGGGTTTTCCTATTTACTTTTCTATAACGTGAAGTATATGGATTTTAGTATAACGATTGCCTCTATGGCTCTATATATATTGTTATAATTGCATGGCACAAAGTTATTTTAATCTATCTTTTGTATCTAACAATCCAACTTGTGAATTCTATGTGAAGATGATAATAAAAATGTTGTTCCTAAATTAGTTTTTGAAAATTCAATTTATGTTTTCAATTTTTAGTCTCTCCCTAATCCTAATTTAACTCACTGAAGTATATTATTTTTCCAAATACTTGGAGGGTTACGTTCACCCCTGGGCAAAAAATTGGTTAACCATTGACCATTATTCAGTTGTTATCATGACAAATTGGTGAGTCCAATAATGAGATGGTCAAGTATTGATAAATGTTTAGCATCTTTTCTTACACAGTAGAGTGATGTCAGGTAGCTTTTCAATACAAAGTAATCATTAATACCTGGTCCTTCTCCGCAAGGGACTGCTGCAATGCCTCCAATGCACTTTCTTTAGGCTGCAATGAGTGTCGCAATTCTTCTATGTTGTCTCGAAGCCTGCTCGTTAGTGATGTTGTCCCATACATAGAAAATAATTATAAAAATCTAAAACACTAAAAATATCAGAAGTAATTGCACTATAATATGTGGCGCAACAAATAAAGTGAGCTGACACCTGGTTTTTGTAGAAAAATTGGCCTATCTTCTTAGAAAATTTCCATTCCAAATTAATCACCCATAATAGTTTCCTGACTATATCATACTAAATTTAAAAGTAAAATCTATTTTTTGTTACCGATGTGAACTTGAAGCATCTGAGCATGTTTTCATAATTAAACTCCAGATAGATGATTAATATAGAGACAGTCAGAATTCCTACCAAAAGACAGATGGAAAGCATAACAGTAACAGGAATGTTTAAAAATCGTACAATATCTCCTGATAATAGTGTAACAAGCAGAAATTATTGGAATAAATAATCAACATTTCCTACCCCGTTCACATTTGGCCAAAAGAAAAAATATAATAATAATATAGGATTTATCATGGTAGTTTAAAAGAAAATCTCCTGATAATAAACTAGCAAAAATAATTGGAATAAATCATCTAAATTTCCTACCCCATTCACTTTTGGCCAAAAGAAAAAATTAACAATATAGGATTCATCATGCAAACAGACACTTAGCCATGAACAGAGAAACGCACTACTCCACATGGTAGTTTCTAAATTCAATCCACAAAAAAGAACATTTATGGAGATTTACTTATTATTTGCACTTCTTAGTTGTTGCCTCTCTGAATCTATCGCTTTCAATGCTTCATTAGCTTGTTGCCGAGTGCGTTCTAGTTCTTGTTGCAGTGCAGTCTGCTGGGATGTTGCACGCTCTGCTACTTCATTAACATCACGAAATCGAGCCTCAAGGTCGTCTTTTTCCTGCAATGTTTAAGCATACCATCAAGACAAACAAGACAATCTCTTATAGTTTGTGTACACACCAATCTGTCATACAAATACACCTTCCTTTACCCTTCCCAACCCAAAGAAGAAAATTGGAAGCAGCAGTATAAATAACATCGCAAGTTCCAGTTTGCACTCAAAGATGTTGTTTACTATTGACACCTAACAGCAACATGATAATGCTATTATTTAGTTTAAAAATAATAATAAAGACGTATGCATAGAGTGACCCCTTACGACAAAGTTAAAAGACAATTTAGATTACTAAGCAAGTAAGCATACAACGTTTCAAACAAATTATTTTGCCAAACATAGAGTAATATAATTTCCACCAAAAACAATAAATTAAATTGATTTCCTCAAGAAGAAAATATTAGATCATGAGTTCTACTCAGGCATTCATAAAATTACAGAACTCATGAAACTTACAAAACGAAATTCCACATTCTAGCACAAATTCGGAGGAATTATAATATGCTTTATTTTTGTTACGTTTTCTCTTTTTGATACTCAATCTTTCATTTAGGAACGTATGAACGCATATACAAGGGGCATACAAAAAACAAGCCCTCATGCAAACCGCCTACAAGAAGGGCTATTAAATTAACTAACTCTCAAACTTTCTCCCAAAACCTCTCCACCCCGAAAAATTCTACTATTCCCCTCAATCCAAATACCCCAAAAAAATTGCAAAAAAATAAGCCCGCCACAACTGGGCCCCTCTATCCTGAAAAGGGGCAAAGCAAAACCTCCTCCATCATCGCTTTACACTCTCTATTACAAGCCAATGATACCCCAAGGGCCCCAAGAACTGATCCCAACTAGCCTGGCAAACTGGCAGCTCTAAAGAATATGAACGAGGTCTTCAGAAGCACTTTTACAAAGAACGCATCACTAAGGACCCAACGCAATCTTTTTTCTAATCTTGAAATCGCTCATCAAACTTCGTAGGTTCCTATCATTGAATATTAGTGACTGAATAAGACACAAAATGTCATGGTCACCCATCTATCCAAAGAAATTGCTTAGTTATGCAAGAAATCTAACACTAACAGAAATACATAATCCTGCATTAAAAAACCGAGAAACTCCTGCATGCTTACGGACATAGCAATCATAACAATTTGATCAGTAAAAGAGTGAACGTAGTAAGCAGAAGGAATACAGCAAATACCTTCTGGATATCTTGAATACGCTGTTTTGCACGTTTGTGTAGCCTGCTAAATTTTGAGTCCAGGTCAGAATATTTCTCATCACGTTCTTTTATTTCTTGCTCCAACTTCTGTTGAGCTACATAAAGAAACATTTATCTGTTGTAAGATTAAAGAGAGAAAAAAAAATCCATTTTGAAACTCTAACACTACAATAAGCAATTACGACCCTTCATTTCAACCTTCTTTTCCCCTCTATTCTCTGAAAATTTCACAAAGATGACTCAGATATAGCTTCTACTAAGCTTTCGTTCCGAACGTGTATAATGCTAAAAAAATTAACTGGATATGTAAATAGATATAGTCATATAGCCTTTATTTTCAAGGATTAAAAGCAAAAGCATAAATGACTACGAAGATAAGTGTGGTAAAAACACAAAATAAATTTGTAACTGTACACCACTTCTACAAATCTACAAACAAACCAAATCCTTCTAATCACAATATAGGGTATGATACCCTCACTTTTATCCACACCTAATAACAATATAAGATACATGGCAAACCAAAAAGATCTGACCTTCGATAAGCTTTGCAGAAAGTTCGTTAACTTTTGCATCTGCTTCTGAGTGGGCTTCTTGGAGATGCTGCAAAGCTTGCTCTGCTGCTCCTCGTGTCTGCTTTTCCTCCGAAAGTTCTTTGTTCAAAGACTCAATTCTTTCATGAAGTTCTTTCCAATCAACGGATTCTCCATCTCTCGAACCAATTTCTTCTGCACGTTCCGGCACACTCTCCACATTCTGCAGATTCTTCATGCTTTCCAACTGAGACTTTAAGAATTCATTTTGAGATTTTAAATCGATAACCATTTGGACAAGCTCGTCGTGATCATCGGAGCATTTGTTGCCATCAGCAAACGTATCTTCCACAGCATGATGGCCATTGCCCGCATGGTTCGCGCCGGATTCCAGCTTCTCAGACATTGGCCCCTCTTCCACTTGCCTTCCTGAAGCTTCCTTAATATCACCTTCCTCCGAAGACATTGTTCCAGCACTTAATTTCACAGCTCAAGCAACATCAGAAATCACTCCGTAAGACCTAAATCGAGGAGAAGTAAATTCAATTGAAATGCTTCGCAGAAGCATTCACTTTAGCAATTTCGTGGTTTCGTCTCTGAATGACTGGAATCTCGAACAAAAATCAGATCCTACCTCGCCCCCAATTGCCATGGTTCCAAAAGAAAACATCAGACAGAGATCTTTGAATCACAGCGCGTAATTCGAGAATCAATGTCAAGACAAATAACTGTACCTTGAATCAAGAAGGAAGGGAATGGCGGCCGGAGATCTATCACGGCGGCGGAAGATCTATTGTTAATGCTATTGATAAATCCCTCTGCCGCAGAAGAATTCAGTTAGTCGCTATTCTTTCATCGGAAACGTCCGACGGCAGCTGGAACGGAATTCTAATGGGAATTCTTCGTTCCTGCGAGCGACTTCGCCATCTATATTTATACTCACGTGCGTTTCACGTGAAACTTTTCTTCTTTGAGTTTCTTTTTTTTTCTCTTTTTTACAACGGAGGTGGGAAATTCGAAGGTCATCACCTCTTGGCATCGATTACGATTGAGCTAAGCCGATGGTGGTTACTTTATTTTCATACGAAATTTTCTTGCTTTTCTCCAATAACAAAATGTATTTCAATTTATAATAAAATATAAACATATGAAATGACATGTTCCACATCGATTATATATCATTCTCAAAATTATCAATCTACTTGACATGAGAATAGTTAAATAGTTAAGACCTCTTGTGGTTAGAATTTCAATATATCGTCTCACGTTTGTTATACTAAAAAAAAAGTTAACATGAGTATAACTTAACTGATTAATGTATCTTTCTCAAATCAAAATATTGTGGCTTACAATGTTGATAACAACAAATGGTTTCTAACCTTATTAAAATAAGAGTATGCCATATCCGACAGGACGATAACACGTTCGGGCATTTGTTAAAGAAATATATCATTTTCAAAAGTAAGTTTGAATTTCTACTCTCTATTGAATTAAAAAAATAATAATAATGATAAATAATAAAGGAAGGGAAAAAAATTATTCCCATCCAATTTAACATCATCTTAATTTGAGATATCTCTACTATTTGGCGAATTTATGAATTTTGTGTTTAATGAACCTTCGAATTATTCAATATTTTCCAAATCTTATGAAAATTTATATTATTAACTCAAATTTAATGGATACGGATCCATAATTCAGTGGTACAACATTTGACTGCATATAAAGAAAGTTATTGGTTCGAACTCGGTTGGGCCTAAATAAATGAGCCTTTTGAGCCCGAGTTGGAATCTTCATCCTATCTATCTCATACACAAGAACATAAAAAAAAAACTAAGATAAATATTTTGATTTATAGAAATATTCGTTAATAATAACATGGACACGTGGAAAATAGAAATGGTTGTTTAATTATTAGAGGTCAGAATTGGAGCGTGGACAAGCGGCGGAGCGAGCAGGATATTGGTCCAAATCGAGTCGGAGGATGCCGGGAAACGCCAAGGATCCGCAGTACAGATGATTCCCGATCTTCATTCCGGTGGTTACCAGCGACAATTTGTAATCATAATACCACGCCACCGCCTTCCCTTCCAGATTCACCGCCACAACACCGCCGTTCTTCTCCATTTTCGGCCGCCGCCCCTTCTTCTCCATCATCGCCAATACCTTTCTAATCGCCGGAAATCTCAGCGCAAGGTACCACGAATCCGTCATCTCCTGCAAATTAAATTAATCCACAGTCCACACACACACATAATTTAACTCAGAAGCAACAAATTAACTGATTGATTGATTGATCATGATTTTACCGTGGACAGTCCGATCCAGTAATGGCCTTCTCCGTCGTATCTGATGTTATCCGGCGTTCCTGGTAAGTTTTCTATGAATTTCTCTACGCTTCCTTTTCGATCGCCGGCTATGTAATATTTTCTGCATCTTCTCCTGCAATTCCAACAACAACCATGGCACTAATTTCATTTCTCCGGTGAGATCAAAGACACTCAGTGAAACTAAAAACAAAATTAAGAGCAAAAAAGTTGAGTATTCTATTAAAAAGGGGATTCGACTCAAGATTCGTAGACTATTACTGCCGATTGATTTTGAGACGAAAATGATGAATTTGATCGAAAGAATACAGTACGTACAGGGGAGTTTCGCAGAAGACGAGGAATTGGCGAGTAGGATCGAGGGCGACGCCATTGGCGAAATAGAGATGTGCGGCCAGGATTTCAGTTAGTTCAGTGTTTGGATCGTATCTCATTAATCGGCCCAGCGGCCTCCCCTCCAGAAGATCGTATATGAAATTGTGGAATCCGTATTTTGAGGAAGCGTCCGTGAAGTAAACGGCGCCGTCTTCTGCCACGTCGATGCCGTCCGTCAGCCCGAATTTCACGCCGTCGGCTTCCGTCGTCAACGCCTCCACCACTCCTTCTGCGCTCACCTTTAGTACCCCCTGCCCAATTCCATTGAATTCTAATCGGAATCCGAGGGAAGGGTATTTTCGGGATTAATCAAAAACTTCTAAATATGACCTTATAAGCGTCGGCGACAAAAATATCGCCGCCGGGTCCGAGAGCGATTCCGAGGGGTCTGCCGCCGGTAAACGCCCAGTTTTCGACCGACGAGTCATTCAATCTGACTCGCTTGACCCACCCATCCGCATCCCCCGTGTAAACGAGTCCAGCTCCCGAGTCATAAGCCATGTCCTCCGCCGCCGACAGCTTCCCCAGCCCCAGGTACTCTGCCCCTCGCAGCATCCCCCCGTTACATTCCCCCACCGCCGCCACCCCCCGAGTCAACTCGTCACCCGGAATAGCGGCCGGGTCGAACGAGTCGAGTTGGTATGCAACTATAGCTGCGGCGACCAGAGCCACCACCGCGATTTTGAGAGCCGCCGTCGCCGAGAATCCTGATCTGTCCCGATGGCCGGCCGGGGTGGGTGGCGGCGGCGGGTTGTTCGACTCGGGCATCGCTTCAGAACTCGGGAAATGACTCAGCGAATTGGTTAATGAATACTGGAGAGAGACGACTCGAAGCTTAGCTTACAACCATCCATTTCATCGGTCATAACGATTTCTTTTTATTTTTATTCAAAATCTCACCTAATACCGAGGAAGAAAGATAAGAAAATTGATGGTTATTTATTTATTATTTAAAAAAAATCTCTCATCTTTTCCTCCTTTTTATTTATGACTAAAATTTTGTGTGCACAATTGAGTGAAAAATTCCCTTTTACCCTTTTAAAAATTGATGGTTTAATTTTCTACCAGCATTTATTTTTTATTATTATTTTTTGTATAATACTTTCCTAATAACTAAGTAACAATTTTTTTTTTGTTAGCACTAAATTTTTTATAAGTAAAAGATAGAAATGCAAATAAAAACAGAGAGATACTTTTTCCCTTCTAAAATAGAAAAATTATTTTTCTATTTATTTGTTTTCCTTTTTTCTTTTTTTGTTAAATAGAAAAAATATCGATTCTCTCTCTCCCTTCTATCCGTGAAAAGTTGGGTTGGAGACGGTAAGAATCTTTTACTGGACAATCTGTAGGAAAGTATTTTGGACCAAATATGGAATTAAGTTCGCATTTAATGAGTTTTCTTTTCTTTTTCTTTCTTTTTTTTTAGAACACAAGTGGTTTGATACAATATTATTCTTTCTTGTGGTTCATCTTTCGGGATGATGAAATAATTATTTTTTTTAATGTGGTGCCGGGGTGTTATACTCAAATTTATACTAAATAAAAGGTGATATATATAAAGGTTGACCAATCTTTTCCACTACCAAAGACACTCGGTACAATATTGCTAGCAAAACTTTGATAGAGGAACCTTAATATGGAATATACGAAGATTTTTAACCAGAGCAATAATTGTTGTTAATACTTTATTCCAATGTTATTTTCTTTATTAGTTAATTATTGAATTTTTTTTGTCGATTATTTTATCTTTTGACAATTTAATTTGTAAATCAATCCAAAAATGTATATCAAATAAAGTTAATTAGGAGTTAAAATGAACTGCCGTGGTCTCATGGGTATGAGGCTCTATAATAGAATAGGGAATTGAAAGAGACTCGGAGAGAAAATAATGGTTGCGTCAAATGGAAGATAAAAGAAGGACGCAATTAATATGGCAACTCAAATTTCATTTTTGTTAGATGGATCAATGGTCCATTTTTTGCCATGTACTTATTTATTAATACTCAAATTATCAAATAACTTGTCACATCAATAATTAATTATTTTTTATATTTGTCAATATCAACTTAGTAATACACATGTCCACGTGTCTCTATYATTGGTTACCAAGTAGTTTACTTAATTTAATAAAATTGTTAAACATTTTCAATAAAATAAAATAAAATTGTTAGCTTGCGTATTSGATCAAAATACCTAGGGGATGCCTAGTCTCCCCTAGGTCCTAACTGTGTGGAGTTAAGTCCTATATCTTGCACTCTTTTTTTAAATCAACTTTTCAAAAGATACGACAAGATGTCAGTTTAAGTTTCGAATGATTAAAAACAAATGTCTARAGCTTAGTCTTTTATCGGTTATTATTAATATTGATGGGTTTCATCTCAAAACTAGTTCGAGAGGAGTAGTCAATGTTTATTATTAACTCGAACTAGTCAATGTTTATTATTAGTATTCTTTTTTTAACATGGGATCTTTAATAGTTATGTGCCCGCCATTTTTACTATCATAAAATCCTTCCCAAATTAAGATATATTTGGCTCCTCGTGACAATGGACAATTCACTATTTTTTAAAGTGTGTGTCAAAGTGAGCATAATTCAACGATGATTGCATAATTCAACGATGATTGGTATATATCTCCCCATTAAAAGAGGTTATGAATTCTATTTCACCTGTCATTTTTGTAAAGTTATACACCATTGTTGTGATTAAATACCTTAACATTGTCCCTGATTATAAATTTTTGTACCTTGCCGGTAGAATTGAGCGGCAAATCTCCAAATACGATGCTCGCCGGCACCATAAACTCCGGCAAATGGTCCCCACAAAACCCAACGATCTCCTCCGCACTTGCTCTG